AGACAGACTAATGCGCCAAAAGGGCGCGCAGCCGGGCGAATGATCGCAGTGACTATTTAGCTGCATGATTGTTCTGCGTTTTCAAAACGTTTTTCTCGTGGTGTCGCAAATTTTTTCAGCACTTCAGTCGGGACCAATACACCGGTACCATCCTGTTGCATCCGAGATTTTTTTTCGTTTACTTTTTTCTTTTTCTTTTTTTTTTTTGTTTTTCTTTTTTCTTCTGTTTTCTTCTTTAGTCCGCAATGTTTCTGTATCAAAGCAACCTAAAAAGTTCTTGATTCAGTTTTTGCTTCGTTTTTTTTTTTTCTTTTTTCTTTTGTTTTGTTTTTACTCCTTCATCTAAAAATCACTGTTTGCTGCCAACAAAGATAACCGCTTCTGTCAATTATCTGTAGCATACAAAAATTTTATTCGTTTTTTTTTTTTTTCGAAGCAAAAACAGACAATTATTTGTGTTTTTCACAGATTTATAAAACAGTTATTGGTGAAATAAAATATGGTATTATTTTCTTGGAATGATCTTTATTTGTGCATTTTGGAATGGCGAAAAATTTTTTTTTTTGGTGTGTGTGCGTGTTGTCTATTGATATTTCCAAATATTTATATCTATCTGTCTTGCTGATGGATAGTTGGTTTATTTTGACTAATCCTACAATTCTGGATGCAAAAAAAAAAAAAGGAAAATTTTTTTTCTTCTAATGGATGCCTCAGAAGGATGACGACAAACAAATGGTTTCAATAGCAACAATATAAACGGGGGAAAAAAAAGTTATTCATAATTTTTTTCTTTTTTTTTTTTTTTTGGCCAAATTATTCATATGAAAGGTTAGTTGTTTATCGTAAATGGAAAGCATTGAAAAGTGATGTATAAGGTTTTTCTATTTTGTGCTCAAGATTTTGAAGGGATGTCATCAGTTTTGTATTCCTTATCACTGTTTGTTAGGCAAATAAATTTTTATGTTTTTTTTATTTTCTTGAACCGTTTTTGTTTTATTCATTTATTTGTTTTTTTTTTTATCTTCTCTTCTTTCAGGGACTTTTATTCTTCATTATATTTATTGTTCTCCGTTCAGCTGCATGTGCTTGACAGCAGGTATGCTGGTAAAAATATTTTGATTGCAAATAAGCGTTCATTAGTCCTACAGAAAGAGCATTATCAACTCGGACATAAAAATGGTTGTTCTATGAAACAGATAATAGAGGGGAGGGGAAAAGTGAAAATTATGCATAAATATCGGTGAATGTTATTGTGTTATCAGTATTTTCTTTATTAAGATGAGCTGCTTTCATAATTGGTATCATATTTGAATCAACTCATTCCTCAAACATTTTCCCCATCTACATTTTGTATATTTGTATACGGAACAGTACCAAAGAAAAAAACCAAACAAAAAATAAAAAGACAATGATAAGCAAAAGAAGGAGCTTCTGAAGAGATTTTTGTTCAGCTTTGTTTTTTTTTTTCTTGTGTGTGTGTGTGTGTGTCTGTTTGTTCCTGTAGGTCTTAACGAGACTCGGCGCTGTTTTATTTTCAATTTTCGGATAGGTCATCGAGTGACGCTCTTGTAGGCCATACGTTGTTAGCCTACCGGGGTTAACTGCTTTTAGTGCAAAGGAGAGGAAAAAAAAGAGACAGAAAAAAGCTTTTCTGTGTTCGCAATTTTGTGTTTACTTACTTGTCGTTGTTGACTTGTAATCACATTTTAAAATTAGGAGTCATTTTGGACGTTTTACAAGTGATTTTAAAGAATTTCATTTCACTAGTATTCGGGCCCTGTAGTTGCTGTTTATGTTACGGGTAATACTTTTCGTTTTAACTTTAATTGTAACGTTAAATCCAAATGTACTGTTTTTCTTTTCCATAATTTTTTGTGTATTTAAACCCCATTGTTGCAGTTACTAGTTCTGTAGAAGTTTCTTCTTGGATCGAGGCTTGCCCTTATGTCCGCGTCGTTATTGTAACATAAACTGAATACCTGAAGGAGGCCGTTGTGCTCGGAAGAGAAAGGTGTCTTCTTGTCCACTTTCGGATGGACCTTTTTAAAAGGTACACATGCATATATATTTCTTTTTTTGCTTTGAATTATAAAATTTAATCTTTGGTCTAATTAATGTTAAAACTGTCAATAGGGATACCTAAGTACTGCTCACTATTGACTGATAAGTTTAATGGAATCATTACACTGCAATGCAAAAATTTTTTTAATATTACTAGGCTAGATTATACCATTTTTTTTTTTTTTT